GTGCGCGCCCGGGGGGGGGGCGCGGCCGCGGGCAGCCTCCCCTCGCAGGCAGCCGTCGCGGGGAGGCTGGCGCCGGCCGGGCTGCGGGCCCAAAACCTCCCGATGGAAATACTTTGCTCCTGACGCGCTGCGGTTTCCGGGTAATCACGCCGTCAGGGCTTCCTTGTTTTGTTGGGAGCTGGGATGGCCGCCCGCCGCGCTCCCTCCATGGCCCCTCCATGGCTCCGGCCAGGCACGGTGCCGCCGGGGGACCTGTTGGCTCCAGAGAGCCTTTCCCAACCCGCTTGCTTTAAACCTGGGGCAGCCCGCAGCGGGGCCGGACCGCAGTGCTGCTACAAGCCGCCCTTTATCCGGGCACAGAACCGGTTTGTTCCAGGCAGCCCCCCGGGTGCGAGGAGGGTGATGGAGCTCCCAGCAAGGCCTTCCTCTGCTCCCCGTGCTGCCCTCCGCCGCCCTGAGCAAACGGGGACGTCCCCAATGCACCGGGCGAATGGGGCAGCTGGGGTCTCGCTTTGCCAACCGTGGTGCGTCCCCTCCCCGCTGGCCAGTCCCCATCGCCACTCTGCCACTGTCCCAGCCCCGGGTCTGGGGACATCTTCTCCTGGGGCAGGAGGGCATAAACCCCCCACGCGAGGCTGGCAGAGCTGGCCTGGTGCCATGGAGGCGTCAATGGCTTTTTGCCCGGGGGTCCCATGGGGACTAGCAGGATGGAGGAGGCTTGGGGTCACGCACAAGCGCGCTGCCCTGCGCCACGTGTTCCCTGTCTATCTGCTGCCTAAAGCCGTCCTGGGCGAGGTGCAAATCTCCCTGTACTTGCAAACAGCATTAGGGGATTACCTGGGCCGGCGGGAGGGGGATTTCCCGTCCCACCACCCCTCTGCACAGCGCGGGGCTGACCTTGGGCCCCCCGGCCCGCCAGCCCGCAGCATCTCCCACCGTCCTGCAATGCCCCATCCCCAAAACGGCTCCGCCGCAGGGGCTGACCCTGCCGGGCCGGTGGCACCCATCGGATGGGGCCACGCGGTGCCCGAGCCACCCCAAAGCCCCGGTTAATCCCAGTGCCCGCAGCACCCCAGCTCCACTTTTACCTCCCGGCACCTCCTAAGACGCTTTGAGGATGATGCCCAACGTGGCCTCTCCCCATCTGCTCTCTGGCCGGGTGGCTGCGGGGTGTCCCCAGGCAGCGGGACGGGGACCTGCCCATCGCTGGCAGGACGGGGTCTGTGCTTACCAGCGCTGGAGCAGGCAGCTGGTGACGGGTCGCAAGCAGCGGGACAGGGAGGCGAGGAGCCGGCGTGCGTCCCCGCAGCATGGAGCCCCCCCAAACTCTCAGAACTTCTTCCCCCCCAGTTTTTCCGCTAAGGTCTATCCCACACTGCTGCCACCACCCCCATTTGTGAGGGGGAACATGGGGGACCCCCCACCCCCCCACGTCCGGGTGACCTCGGGGCCGCCCACGCCGGGATGCCCAATCCCACCAGTTTTGCGGGATTTTTAGCGGAGCCAGTGAGGGGTGGATGCTTGGGCTCATCTCCAAGATAAACATTTATGTTAGGGGAGGGCAGGAGGGGGGAGAAGAAAAGCATCGTTCATCAGCGTTAGGAAAAAGGGAAATTGTATTAGAGGCAGCCGCGGCGATTGCAGATAAGAGCCGCTCTCGCCAGATTACTCGAACTTTAATACAGAACAGGAAAGCCCTGAACAACCAGCGCCTCGCTCCCCACTAGGGAAATGAAACCCTCATCTCTTTCGGGAGAGCCCAAAGCTTTCCGCCCTCCCCACGCCTGGAGGCCCGGCCACCGCAGACGGGCACGGCTGCACCCCGCAGAGGGGCAGGAACATTTGCGGGGTGTTCCCCCCACCAGGCCCCCTTGCCCACCGCGTCTCTGACTCACTTTTCGTAGTCGACGTTGTCCTTGTCGCAGCGCGTGTCCTTGTGCTTCTCCCAGTCCTTGCCGTGCTTGCAGGTGGTGAGGGAGACGATGTCCTGCCCGTTGTGGATGTGGTGCAACGCGTTCCTGGTGCTGGAGCCGATGCCGGTCAGGTACCGCTTCCCCTTGAACACCAACAAGTATTTCTTCTTCAGACGGATCGAGTCCTGATACAACCACCCCCTCTCCCCGCCGCGCTGCGGGTGGTCCTTGGAGAAGAGAGGGATGGAGATGTCGAAGCCGGGCCTGAAGTTCTCGGTGTAGAAGCTGGCTTTGGCCAGGATGGCCTGGCCGATATCGAAGCCCAGGTCCTCGGTGTAATCGGGCCAGGTGCCCGAGTAGAGGTTGAAGATGAGGTGGTTACGGCCGCTGTTCCAGAGCGGGAAGCCGCGGATTTTCTCATCGACGTTACGGACGTATTGACCTGAGAGATGGTCGCGGTCCAGCGTGTCGATGCTGAGGATGAAGAGGCAGGCTTCCTCGGGGTTCGGGGTGTAGTAGCGTGAGCGCTCGATGGAGGTGAGGATTTTGCTGTAACTCTCCGAGAGGGGCTGGTCCCTCTCCCGGGGGTAGGTGAAGACTTTGAAGCCGTGCTTCTCGCACCTGGAGAAGTCGAAGCAGGTTTCCATCCGGCATCTGCTGTTCTTGTAGACGCTCAGCCACGCTGCCTGCCGTGCCCGGGGCGATGGCAGCGAGGGGTCCCCATCGCTCTGGAGCTCTTCGGGGTCCGCAAAGCTTTTGAGGAGGGACCGATCCGTCCAGCGGGGCCAGTTCCTCCGGGCTTCGGCTTTTCTCCCGGAAAAAAAAGCAAAACGGAGCAGCTGGTCTCCTCCAAAGAAGAAAAGCAGGAGCCAAGAGGCAAGGAAAGTCAGGAAAATGTATTTCTTCCTGGTCTGCATAGGTTCATGCACGGCCCCGGCTCCTCATCGGGCTCCGAAGTCTGGGCGAAAGGCCGACGTCCCGAACCCCAGGCGGGCGGTGGGATGGCTCCCCGTCCCCAGGGATTGCCCCGTGGCCCTTGCAGCCCACAGGAGCGTGGGTGAACCCCGCGGTCCTCTTGCTGCCCCCTCCGACCAGGGCTGCGCTGGCTTTTCGAGGCCGTTCCTCTCTCCGGCTGCGGAGCAGAGCTCGGTGCAGCGGCGTCCCGCTCCCTTCCCTCCGGCGCAGCGTTTACTTCTTCGCTGGGCCCCCGTGCCGCGACAATGACAATTCCATCGCCGCTTGGCCCAGCTTCAAATCCCTGGCGAAGGGGAGAGGTCACGCCGTCGCTGTCGCCGTCCTGCCGCC